TGTCAGAAAACTGAATAACAATACTGAATACTGTAAATGTTACTCAGTTCTTCAGTTGATGTGATATTTGAATTTTGAACTTACTTGTTATAAAATTTTCTTTTTTTACTATTAATTTTTTATTGTTATTATAGAAATGATGTTCAAAAGACTTAAAGTTATATAAGTCAGGTAATGAATATATTTCTTTTCGGACCATGTCCCCTCTTTTTTTGCTCTCTCCCAGTTTTTTCCTCCCACCCCATCAATCTCTTTTCACTAAACATGTGAAGAAGAGTCCCAGTGTCTCTCTGCAGTGTCTCTCTTCCTATCTACCTACTTCTGTCTCTCAGATGGCCAATTCTGCCTGGTCATTTGTGAATGGCACTGTGGTTTTCCCATTAATGAATTCACCTTAATTTCATGTGGGAACAGAAGCTCTTTCAGGTTCGTGACTGATTGTTCTTGTATTTGTCTTAAAGACCTCGATGATACTATTGACTCTTTTTGAGATAAAACTTACCCTCCTCTTCTTCTCTAAAAAAATGATTTATTGTTCCTTCTCCTGTTTCCTTAGCAGTGTACATCTGTAAGCCTCTTGAAATTACTTGCTACTATTTTTCCTGTCTTTTAACTAAATGGAGATGGTACACAAAGCATATTCAGATGCACAAAGCAGTTCATGTTGTGAGTGCCTGAGAAATGCCTTTTAAGTGTTGAAATTATATTCGTAGAGGTGATAGCATAATGTTTTGTCTGAGAGCTTCAATATCCTTGGATAGTATAGCAGAAAATTCTATAAAGAGTTTAAAAAAGAATAATGAAGTTAAATTTTGATATGCGAATAAAAACACCATATATGAAGATTCTACTGGAAGATGTGATTCATTAAAAAAAAGACAGCAACATCGTCTGGCTAGTAATGACACCGATCAACATTTTATATTTCAAGGGAATTTAAGGTCCATATAGCACGAAACTAGTGGCACACACCTGTAACCCTAGCTAATCAGAAGGCTGAGATCTGAAGATTTGAAGTTAGCCCAGGCAGGAAATTCTGTGACTCTAATCTCTAATTAAAAAGCAAAAGGCTGGAAGGAGAGGTTTGGCACAAGGGACGGAAATCTAATCTTGAGAAAAATAAAAAATAAAAACTCAGTGATAATGATAACATGAGGCCCTATTAAGTCTAAGTAGCAGCACAAAATACAAAAACAATTTAAAAAGACCTCTGTAATATACCATAAAATTGACAGTTTCTAAAATTGCTGCAATAAATATTTATAGTTTTGTGCCAATACTTTACTATCTTTTGTGTATGTTTGTGTGGGTCCTGAAGCTTGAACTCTAGGACTGAGTATTGTCTCTGACCTTTTTGGTTAAAGCTATTATCAAGGCTAGCACTCCACTATCTGAGCCACAGTTGTGCTTCTGGATTGTAGTTGTGAATTGGGAATAAGAGTCTCACAGACTGCTATCCTCTGATCTCAGGCCTCTTGAGTAGCAAGGATTACAGGCTTGATCCACAGACATCTGACCCATATACTGAAATGTACAAATTAATACAGCTGTTAAAATTTCTGCAATATATACAGAGAGAATATTTTAAAAAGTAGTAACATACCCAGGTTATCAATCATTACCTGATCAAATAATCATGACCTGATCCCCACCCTAGTCTTGACTCTTAGTAGCTTTCCTCCTGTGAGTTTCTAGAATGTTCTACTCTTTCACACTTGCTTCATTGTCTTTTGTTTATATCATTTTACTGAAGAATTCATTCTTGATTTCCATTTTAACATCAATCTCATTTTCCAGCCACTGATTAATATTTTCTTCCTAAAGCTCACTTTTTCTGATATAGTAATGTAATAACCACATGATTATTTTTATAATGATATGTATAATAATGTGTACTAGCATTTTTATTTGTGTGAGTATTTAGATCCTCTGTCACTGACATTCTCCCTAGAAAGTAAAACCTCCAAATTATCAAGTAATCTTATGATCTATTTATATTTGGACTGTATTCACAAGATATGATGTCTGCATTTTTCTCCTTTTATAAAAGTAGGAAAATTGCAATTAAAAAGTATATTTTCTGAACATCTACTGGGAGCAAGTACATGAGAATTTTTTCTTTTTTCATATATATATTATTAATTGTAAGAAATACTGTACAGAAGGGTTACAGTTACATGAGTAAGGTAATGAACATATTTCCTATCAAGTATTGTTAACTCCTCCTTTGTTTTTCTCCTACAATCCCTTCCCTCCCCACCTCCCCAACTCCTCCTCCCCTGAAGGTGTAAAATTCATGTTCAACATAGAGTCTTGTACATATCATTGTTACAATGGGTCAACCCTTATCCTTGTTTCAGCATTTTGTTATTTCCCTTCCCATCCCCAAATTAGAAAAATGTATATACAAGATGCAAAGCACCAGAATCAAATACAGTGAAAACAAGGGTTATACCATGGGGGACGAACATGTGAAAGAAACAAAAAAATAGAATGGAAGAAAGATAGCCTCTTCAGTAAATGGTGCTGGCAAGATTGATTAAACATCTATAGAAAACTAAAGCTAGATCCCCATATATTATTCTGTACCAGAATCAACTCCAAATGGATCAAAGACCTTGAAATAAAAGAAAACACCCTGAAAATATTACAGGAAGGAATAGGAGAAACTCTAGGGCTTCTTAGCACAGGCCAGAATTTTCCTAATAGAGCCCAGAAACACAACAAATCAAAGAAACTTTAGACAAATTGGATTGCATGAAACTGCAGAGCTTCTGCATGGCAAAGGACATAACTAGCAAGATCAATAGAAAGCCCATGGATTGGGAGAAGATTTTACTATCTATAGAATGGACAAGGGTCTCATATATAAAATATACTTAGAACTCAAAACAAAATAAATCCCCCAACAAAAAATCCTCAAAGAAATAACTGCCCAATAAATAAGTGGGCTAAAGACTTAAAGAGAGACTTCTCTGAAGAGGAAATAAGAATAGCCAGTAGACAAATAAAGAAATACTCAACTTCTCAAGCCATAAAAGAAGTGTAAGCCAAGACAACATTGAGATTCCACCTCACCCCAGGTAGAATGGCTATAATCAAGAAATCTGATAACAACTGATGCTGGAGGGGATGTGGCCAAAAGGAAATCCTAATGCATTGTTGGTGGGAGTGTAAACTTGTTCAAACACTTTGGAAAGCAGTATGGAGGTTCCTCAAAAGACTCACATAGAGCTCCCTTAAGACCCAGCAATCCTTCTTTTGGGCATTTACCCAAAGGATCACAAACAAGGTTATACCAAAGCTACCAGCACATCTATGTTTATTGTAGCATTATTCACCATAGCTAAGATATGGAACCAATCTAGATTCTCCTCAGTAAATGAATGGATCAAGAAAACGTGGTATATATTTATACAATGGAATTCTATGCCTCCATCAGAAAGAATAACATGGCCCCATTTTTTTAGGAAATGGAAAGATTTTGAAAAAAATTATATTAAGTGAAGTAAGCCAGACCCAAAGAAACATAGGTCCCATGGCTTTCCTTATTTGCAATAACTAGTATATGTTTAGCTATGTACATGTGACCATATAAGATGATGCTAACTGAAATGAACCCCAAGATAGGGACACAAGTGGTGTTATCCTTCTTGCTGTTGATTTTAATGTATTTATAATTTTTTTCTTTAGACATTGAATAAACAGTCCTTTAGTCACTGTAGCCCTAGACATCAGGCAGCCCTGCTTTGTTGCTGATGCCCTGAGGCCCAAACTGTCCTCACACTTTCCTATCTTAGTTTCTGACCCACAGAATCCAGAATCTTTTTTGTTTTTAATCTTTATTGCATAGGTGATGAATAGGGTGGTTACAATTATTTAAGTAAGGTAATGAGTACATTTCTTTTTTAAACACCCTTACCCCTACCCTCATTTTCTCCCACTTACCCTTTCCTACTTCCCTTTCCCCCAAGTTGTAATGTTCATTTCCAATACAGTGACTAGTGAGTATCAATGTTGTATTAGTTCATTCTGTACTATTAAAAGCAAGTGACTTTTTTGTTAGCTTCCTTCTAGAATTTACAAGACTCCAAGGAGGATAAAAGAAGCAATTATTTCAAATCACTGCCAAAGAAGACTTCTCTTTAACATTTCCAATGTTTAATGATGACATATTTCCATGCATGCATACTTATGTCAAAGAAAATAAATAAAAACACTAATGACTAATTTCTTGATGATTTTAGCACTCTCATTCTCTCTCTCTCCCTCTCTCTCTCTCTCTATGTATATATATATATATATATATATATATACATATATATATATATACACACACATAATAGGTGACATTAAGTTTCCTTAATGAATTATTTGCTTGAATATTTTCCATATTTTAATATTTCTGAAATTGAAAAACACATTGGAATTAAAATACATTGGAATGGGCCAATATTGCAGTGAAAAACTTGGTGGAATAGCCAGAAATTAATAGTGTCAAAGTATGTTTTTATTTTTGTTTTTTGTTTTTGTTTTATTACTTAAAGAAATACAATTGCATAAGCAAGAGAATTGTGATCTTTAAAGAAAAATGCCACATAATTGCAGGAGGCAAATTAGATGCATTTCATGGTTTTAGGATTCTTAAAGCAGCTACGATATCGACTCAGCAAATCTCTTGTATGCTTAGAAAAAAAACTCTTTAAAAGTTGCCTACACGATCATAAGCATTATTTAATTTCCACAGCCTGACAGCTCTATGAGGAAAAGAGGAGATTGTATGTCATCTCTTTCAACAATCATAAACTAGGTTTCATGTATTTTATGCTTTAGAAGTTACATGGCTTTAAGAATTGATGGCAGAGACCTTTTCTCTGTGTTACAGACCAGGCTTTTGATTATAGAATCTGCATCTTGCATTAGTTAACACTGATGTAAGGTCTGGCCTTGTCAGCATTATTTGATGTATGCCAGTATGTGTAACTCCAGGTTTTCATCAGGATAGTGATCTGCTGGACCGGAGGAAACACTGCTTCACTGTGCAATCTGAGTCTGGAGAGGACCTCTATTTCTCTGTGGAGTTAGAGTGCGACCTTGCCCAGTGGGAGAGAGCCTTCCAAACAGCCACCTTTCTAGAAGTGGAGCGGATACAGGTGAGGGTGTGGAACATAGACCTTTGGGGCTCAGAGTTGCATGATTCTTCCTCTAGAGTTCTAATAGAAACTCAACAGCTTTCTGAGAAGGTTGGCCTCTGTCTCAAGAACATTCAAATAAATGAATGACAAGGTATCTCTGAAAAACATTTTAAAATTTCTACCATTTTATCCTTTTAAAGTATCTTACCAAATAGCACTTGGTGACATGTTGCTCTAATATGAAGATTATATAGAAATGCTCCATTTTTTGTAGTTTACAAGGTTGTATCCTGTTCTCCAATCATGATCATTCTACACCTGCTGTCTTCATATATTCTTCATTTGCTGACATTAATATTCCTTTAAGAAAGTGCTTCTTTCATCTGTGCACTTCATCAACCTTATACAGAGGGTGAAACTTGTTCTAAAGCTTAAGCCTTTGTATCTGCCCCCTGATAGCCACCTTCTTCCATAACAACCCATACTACCTCTCCCCTCTTTCCACCTCAGTAAATAATAAAGCCTTCTACTGTTTTTGTTGTTTTAGGCCTGCCTCCACTCTGTCTTGCACTGCAGTGACATGTGTACATTCTTTGCACTATCAGAAGTGAAAAACAAATATTTGATTTACTGTTTTTCTTTTAGCTTTTAGCTTTTCTATAGGTCTTTTGTTTCTTACTTAAGCATTTTGTTATTTCCCTTCTCCTCTATAGGTTTTTTTTTATGCCTCTTTATTGCTATAGCAGAAATTTGCACTCACTTGCTAAATATTTAGGTAGTATTATTGCTTTAATATCTGATATATGAGTATATGTATATGAAGAATTATGATTATCCTTTACATTTTCAATATTTATCTGTCACTGTAGTTGGTACAAAAGTAAAATAGAGGGAAGGCGGGTAATACAGATTAGAAGCAGTTATACATGTGTAAAAAGACAGCATAATGAACCTCCCAAACACTGAAAAAAACAAAGACAGCATAATGAACCTCCCAAACACTGAAAAAACAAACAAAAAAAGGGCGGGGAAGTAGGGAAACATCAGATAAGATAAGCTTGCTCCAAGTACATAGAGTACATCAGTGGAATTCCATAATGAAACTCCTATGCATTATTAATTTTTGCTTATTTAAAATAAACTAATATTTTCAAAACGGAAAAAAGAAGAAATATTTGCCCTTTTTAAAATAAGTATGAAGAGGAATAATGAATTGACTCAGTATTGATGAATTCATAAGTAAATTTACTTTTACTTTGAAATTGGTTTTAGCTGGTAGGACTAGAATTGGATTTCATTAAGAAGACTTAAAAGAGGATAGAGAGTTTCTAGCCAGTTTCTTTATAAATTTTCAGATTGTTTAGAATCTCTAATTCATTTCATATTTATATAAATATCAGCATATTTATTTGCATGATCCAGGGAAATGTATTTCTGAAACATTTCATAATGGCATTTAAATAAACACTTTAAAACCTGAAAAACATAATGAATATTGAAAGAAAGTAGCAAGTTGTATAAATAAAATGTTACATTTCCCCTAGCATAATGCTAAGCTTAATGAGAAAAATTGAAGTCACTACAGCAAATAGCTTTCACCTTAAATATTCTTTTTTAAATGACAATACTTGAAAATAGCAAACAATTAAGCCTAATTAAGAGTAAATTGTTTAGCCTTGAACATTCCTTAGTGTTGATAGTAGCTTTAATAAAGTACTAATGGTTAGATTTGAGCATGGAAGATGCCTGTGTATTAAGCAAATAAAATTATGCCCCAATGCAGTCTAGAGAACCATTAAATGTATTTTAATCTACTGTTTTAAAAGATTTAAAGCCAAATGGATAATTTGGCATGGATATAATTTTCTATGCCAATTAGACTTTAAACACATAAATAATTGCTTTCTGGTGAAGGCAACTTGATATATTTAGCAATGATTATAGTCACAATATGATTGATTTAATATATTTATATAACTCAAACTACAAAAACAAATAATACATATAGGATGTTATTAACATTGTGCTTGAGATATATCACTCCATCTTAATGTGAACTATCAGTACACTTTATCAATTGAATAGCCCATTATAGTTTAATTTTTAACTTCAAATAAAATCAATCTATGGATAGAGGATTGAATATTTTGAATATAAACCCCAAATCATTTTACATCTTTCATATCATTTGTTTTAATCTCCGTATTTATTGATGTTCTCAAAATATTCATACAAGTAATATTAAAATAATCTGACACCAATGAGAAAACTCATTGTTTGGTGTTATGTGGTGTTGGTAATGGAACTTGAGGCCCTAGACATCCTAGACAAGTGTTCCACCCCTGAGCTGTCAGCCAGGTTACATTTGTTCATTGTTCTTTTCAGTAAGTGAAAATGCGTTTGTTGATAGTTTGTGCCATATGGAAAAACTTTGAGGCCTAATGTTAGCATGACTTTTCTGTCTTGATTGCTGAACCTGTGTATTGTGATTTGCATGAATCAGCATTCTTTTTAAGTAATATCCATGAAATTCATAAGCTGAGGATTTCAGATCTTGTTCTTTAACAATAATTCTCTCTTGTTTTAGTGCAAATGTATTCTTATAAAGCTAGATGATATTACAATTGTGCCTCAGCTCCAAAATTTTGGACCAATTAAATTACCAAAATAGTGAAGAGAGCTGGATCTGGAATATGGTATTGCATACACGTAATCCTGGTTGTGAGAAGGCTGGAGCATGAAGATTGTTAGATGCCAGTCTTAGTGGGATGATGTATAAAACAAAATAATATAAATTAAACTAAATAAATTAAGATGCAATGGATAGAATAATATATAAACACAAATACACATGTGCATAAGAACACACACACACACACACACACACACACACACACACACACCCCTACCTATATAATTCCAGTCACTCAGGAGACAAAGAAACAAGGATTGCAGTTTGAAATCAACTCTGGCAAAAATTCTAGGAAGATTGTATTAAAATCAATCCAACCATGGTGGCACATGTCTGTAATCTTACCTACTCATGTAGCGAAGATAGAAGGATTACATTTTATGGCTAGCCTAGGCAAAAGCATAAAATGGTATTTGTGAAAAAACAAAACAACAAAAGTAAAAGGACTAAGGCATAACTCAGTGATAGACGGCTTTTCTTGCAAACTCAAGGCACAAATGCAATCCCCCAGGATTACCAAAATACTCAAATTAAAAAAAAAAAAAATCCAAGCATTTTTGTTTGTTTTGCTTTTTTCTGTTTTTGTTTTGTTTTGTTTTGTTTTTGTCAGTCATGAGGCTTGAACACTTGGCCTGGGACTTGTTCCTGAGCTTTTTCACTCAAGGTAGTGTTCTACCACGTTGAACTACAGCACCACTTCCTTTTTCAGTAGTTAATTAAATATAAGAGTCTCATGCACATTCCTGCCTAGGTTGGCTTCTAACAATGATCCTCAGATCTCAGCCTCCTGAGTAGCTAGGATTACAGGCATAAGCCACCAATGCCTGGCTATAAACATGTTTTTTATTTGTCAAAGAGGTACAGTTTTTGCACAATATAAAAACATAGCAAAGTGCAGAGCATGATTGGAAACCTCTCCCTGAATACGCTTGGAGAAGTCAAAGAATATTCTCAGCTTCTGAATTGTTAAAATGGAGATGTTGATAAAATAATTATATATGCTGTGTGAGTACTGTTGATATTTAAGTATTGTAAATGAAAATAGGAGATGTCACCTAGGCCAAGATACTGATATTATACCAATAATTAGGAAACTAACGATGTTCTCTCATCTGTCCAGTGTAAGACTTATGCATGCGTGCTGGAGAGTCACCTCATGGGCCTCACCATTGACTTCAGCACAGGATTTATCTGCTTTGATGCAGCAACAAAGGTAATGGCTCAGGTCAGCATGGAGAAATATAACTCTGACTTTCTCACTCATGAACCAGTAGAGACCTTCTATTTAGCATTTTAATGGGTCATGATGTGCCAAGTTTTAATTTTTCATTTTTGCTCATAGAAGATAAATTATTTTTTAATCTGTTTATAGAAAAAATGTTTGATGTTTTAATACATGTGGCAAAAGCAAACATTATACTGAAGTAAATTTATGTCAATTTCCATTTGTAAATACAAATATAGATATAGGCTTACAGAGCTATAGATAGATATGTTTTCTTTTTTATCTCTTTTCTGAAAGATTTGTACTAATGAGAAAAATTTCCTCCCCCCTACAATTTCATAGAGGATCCCTTTATGAGTTTTCTGTATCAGTCTCGAGGATCAAACTAAGAAAATCATCTCTTTACTAATAACTAGGAGTAATAGAGAATGGTAGAATTTTGAAGTTAGGAGATTTTTCCCAGAAAGTTTATGATGAACATGTGACTAAGTAAGGCTTTTGTAAATTTCATAAATTTTCTATTCCACAAAATATGCCTCTCTGAGAAGTATGCACAATGAATGATAAGGTCATTTCTTCAGCTTGTCATATCTTTCATTTTATTTGTTATTAAAAAAAAAAGCAGCCTTGGTAACAATGGGCTGATAAAGCTAAATTCAACTGGAAATGGTCTCTCAAGATGTGTAGCCCCAAACTGCCAATGCTAATCCTCTCCCTGCAGTGTGTGATGGTCTCCCACTGTGTCTCCTTCCTTCCTCCATCCCCCATTCCCCACACTCAGTGCTAATCCCCTCCCTGCAGTGGATGACTCAGTCACTGGGCTGCAGAAAAAGATGTTTTCTTCCTCCTCGGATTCATTTCATGTTCCCCTTTATCAAAGTCTGGTATGAATGAAAATGTTCCTTCTTAAAGATTAATAGGCAATCTTTGGTTAGGAAACACATATTTAATTTCAAAATTAAGGCAGGTGCAGGATTTTTCAAAATCAAGTGCAAATAAAGCAATACAGTGACATAAATGTCTGAGGGCCGTGGAGTATAGGAGACAGAGGGGAATACTTTGATGTTCAGATTCATAGGCTTCTCACAGTGGAGTCTAGCTCTTTTTAGGTAGAAAGAACAGCCCATGGTGTTCTATAAATGTCTATTGTTTCATAGACAGCAATTGAGATTGTCATGTACAAAATTTTATATTATCTAAGGATGGCCAAAGTTACCTTTTGTTTGACATTGTGAAATTAATTTGCATAATGATGCAAGTCAGGTTAGCTATCCAGTATGTGGCCTTTGCAGGATACTCAAATATACAGTAGCTCTTAAATATACACAACAGTGTATATTTGACTCAATATATACACAAATATACACAACAGTGGCTCTTTTGATGATTCTTAATGAGACTGACATCAAATCAGGATAAACTCATGGGTATGAAATTAGTCTCATAAATTAATTTAATGATTAATCAAGTTGGGTATTAAATTAATTTACTGACTTTAGAAATATATTAAACTGATTAGAAAGATAGTAAATTATAATTTTAAAAGAAAACAGTGTCCACAGAACTGTTATCAAACTCTTTCTCATCACTGTGAACAAATCTTACATTAGTAAACAAGATAGAAATCAGTTATCTGAACATGATTTTAGCTATCTAAATCTCTTCTGAGTTTATTTGTGAGGCTAGTATAACCCACTTCAGCATGTTGTTTACTCTTTGTATAACAAGAAAACCATAGTTCTCATACCCTCTCCAACATAGCTGTCTATTTATGTCCTGAGTATGCTGGAAATGAGTGCTTAGAAAGGAGAATCAAAGTCAATTGTTACCATTCCTCTAGTGAAACAATGAGAATATCTCCAGTAGAAGCCAGACAGTCCAACATCTCAAGGCCTCCCTGATCTTTTTGATCCCATCATTGGAAGGAAGCATCAATGGTCAAGGTAGTCTAACTTCGTGACAGCAGGAAAAGAATCTAGAAACTTTCTAATGAAAATGACCATTGTAGTAATTGTCCAGAGAGTGAGAAATAGGAGGGAAAGTAAAAGTTATTCATGACAGAAAATATAAAGAGCCTGGGCAAAACACCAAGCCAAACCTACTTACAAGAAACTTGTCCTATTATGTGGAATGGGCATTGAAATTATTTTAAAATACAAACAAGATTAATAGTTACATGTAAATTTAAACAGGCTGTTTTCATTTTTTTAACATTAAAAAAAATCTCCAACCTAGGTGCCATTGTCTCAAACTTGTAATATTAGCTGCTCATGAGACAGATCTGAGGATTGAACTTCACTGTCAGCCTGGGTAGGAAAGACTGTGAGAATGTTAAAAAAATAAATAAATTCTATTGTAAAGGTGATGTACAGAGAGGTTACAGTTAGCTAAGTAAGGTAACGAGGACAATTCTTTTTGAACAGTGTCACCCTCTCCCTTGTTTCCTCCCACTTTCCCTCTCACCTCTACTCCCACCCTACAAGTTGTATATTGAATATCCAACATAGTGTCTAGTGACTATCACCATTGAATTGGTTCACCTTTGTCCCACCATTTCTGTGATTCTCCTTCCCTTCCCCAAATCAGATAAATTTATATATAAGACAAAGTGCAAGCTGGGCACAGGTTGCTCACACCTTTAATCCTAGCTACTTAGGAAGCTGAGATCTGAGGATCACAATTCAAAGCCAGCTTGGGCAGGAAAATCCATGAGACGTGTATCTCCAATAAACTACTAGAAAACTGGAAGTGGCGCTGTGGCTCAAGCTATCTAGTGCTTGTCTTGAGCTGAAGAGTTGACAGATAGTGCCCAAGCCCAGAGTTCAAGCCCCACGACAGACCAAAAAAAAAAAAAAAAAAGACAAAGTGCATAGAAATAAAAAAAACAGTGACACTAGGGAATAAACCAAAGTAGAAACAAGAAAAGGAAAAAGAAAACAATATAATAAAAAACCCTCTTGTATTTATTTATTGGAGTTCTTTGCAATAAGCATAATTTTATATGGTCATGTGCACATAGCTACTGAGACATTGTGATCCTCTCCTAAGAATACCCTCCTTTGCTTTGTTCTCAGTGTGTGAATGCTTAGAATGCTATTGAATGAATCATGTCCATGTAATTACTTTTTTTTTTACTATCGATTGGATTAACTTGTAGACTTATAGCTATATTCTAGTTATCACAAATGAGGAGAACTATGTAGCCTATGTTTCTTTGGGTCTAGCTTACTGGGTTGATTTCATATCTTTGCTATGGTAAATAATTCTACATGGTTGTGCTGTTGGCTTTAGAATGGGAGGGTTTGTGAACATTTGGGTAAATGCCCAAGAGTGGGATTGCTGGTTCATAAGAAAGCTCTATGTTTAGTCTTTTTGGAACTTCCATACTACTTTCCAGAGTGGTTGAACAAGTTTACATTCCCACAAACAATATAGCAGCATTCTCTCTTGGCCACATCCCTTCCAGCATCTGTTATTATTAGTTTTCTTGATAATGGCCATTCCAATTGGGGTGAGGTAGAATCTCAAGGTTGTACCCATCAAAATCCCAACAACATTGTTCAATGATATAGAAGAAGCAATCCAAAAATATTCATAACGAATACTAGAAGACCCCACGTGGTAAAAAATAATCCTTAGCAGGAAAAACAGTGCAAGAGGAATATTAATACCAAACTTCAAACTCTATTACAAAGCTATAGAAAAAAAACAGCTTGGTACTGTCACAAGAACAGGCCTGGGAACCAATAGAATAGAATCAAAGACCCACAAATGAGCCCACAGACCTATAGCCACTTAATCTTTGATAAGGGAGCCCAAAACACAGGATGGAAGAAAGACAGCCTTTTCAACAAATGGTGCTGGGAGAATTGGCTACACATGTATAGAAAATTGAAGTTAGATTCTTATATACACCCTGAATCAAAATTGATTCCAAATGGTCCAAAGACCTCAATATAGATCAGTTACCCAGAAAATATTACAGGAAGGGACAGGGAAAACAGTAGGGTTCATTGGCACAGTTTGAAACTTCCTAGGATCCAGAAACACAACAAATAAATGAAAAGCTGGATAAATGGGATCCCATTAAACTGAAGAGTTTCTGCATGTCAGAGGACATAAATGGCAAGATAAAGAAAGCCCAGAGAATGGGAGATATTTACTAGCTATACAACAGACAAGGGCCTCGTATCAAAATATACCTAGAGCCCCCAAAATTAAACCCCCAAAAGCAAATCCTCAAAGAAACAACAACCACATTGATAAGTTGGCTGAAGACTTAAAAAAAAGAGACTTCTCCAAAGAACTCTTCAAATAATGGCTAATACATACTTGAGGAAATATTCAACATCTCTGGCCATAAAAGAAATGCAAATCAAAACTATGAGACTCTTATTTCCAATTAATCACCACTGGAAGTAGAACTGTGACTTAAATAGTAGACCACTAGACTTAAGCACAAAAGCCCAGAAATCATGCTGAGGCCCTGAGTTCAAGCACCAGTTCTGGCGCACACGCACATACACACACATACACACATACGTGTCTCCAGCTATTTTACAATTTTGATGTTAATTTCAAAGACTTCTAGACTTCTTCAGAATCCATGTCTAGCAGAATTTTTTAATGATTGTATTGGAGAGGGTGACTTCAGTAGCTCTGTTCATTACCTTTAGCTGAGCATGTTTTGTCCTGAGCTCCATCTTGGCCAGATCCTCTAACTAAACCCCAGGTCTTATGATACAAGGTCCAGGGAAAGGGACTATGCCTTAAGTCACAAATTGAGCTCTGTATAAAGCAGATAGTGGCCTAATAGTATATTAGAAGGTGGAAGGGAGTTGCTTCATTATGCTATTTTCAAAAGCAATCATATTTTTCATTTCTTAACTGAATTAAAAAGATAATAATAAATATAAATAATAATGAAAAAGTAAACTAAAAGATTATTTTGGGATTCTATAGCTAGAGGAATTCCAGGTTGCTTTCTC